AAATACGTCTAATTTATCCTAAATGATCTTGCAATTTTCAAACTTATATGCATTTTTGGTTGATTTTTTTTTATAAAATACATCTAACTTATCCTAATGATCTTGCAATTTTCAAGGTGTTTTTTTAAAGAAATAAATTTTTGAACTTTGAAAAAAAAAATTGCAATCTCTAAAAAAGTTATGTTGAACAATTTTTACTTACTTAAATTTTATTTTTAAAGCCTTACTTTTAAAGCGAGTCATATGCCTAATATACATACATATTTACACAATTATGTGCATATAAAATTTTTTATTTACTGCAGCATGTGCAAATGAAATATGAAGAACGCTGCATAGAGTACCGTTCACAGTATAATTGAGTTGAAAAACGTGAACAAATGTGTTGGCAAAAAAAAAACACGAGTGAAATGAAGGCAACGAAACACAAAAACAAAAAGCCAATCAGCTAGTCGTCAACTATGAGTTGTGCAGTGTGGGCATTGAGATGAAAGTGCCGGGTGTTGGCGAGAGTGATTCACACGGCATGCCATTAACTCATATACTAGGCATACACACATACATATTTATGCGGACAGACGTGCCAGCATGCCATGCGATAAAGCATTTTTTTACACCACATCATAAATGGGCAGTTTTGTAGGCAAATGTAATAGCAAACTTGATTGTCTTCTTCATTAAAGCATTGCCATGTAAAGAATTGAATAATAGAATTTCACTTTCGTTTTCCCAAGCCTTTGTGAAATTATTATGTACATACCTGCCTAATAACAAGTGATTTCTTAGCAAATTTGGCAATTAATAAGATTTTCCCTTCATAATTTTTTTTTTTTATTTTTACCGAGCATGCGCGCAGCACAGGTGAGAGAGAAAATGGAACAGCAATCAAATGAAAAAAAAAAAAAACAGAATGAAAAAAAAATAAAAAAATAATAATGAACAAGTAGCCGCTCGCTCGCTTGCTCGCTGCGTGCGACATTTTGAGAAGAAAAGAAAGTTTGTCACTTAAGTCTTTCGTTATTGTATTGGCTTGGTGGCACAGGTAGCCGCTCTATTATCTTCATACACACACACACACACATCTACACAAATTTAAATACTATTTAGCGTATGTGTGTGTGCGGTGCGCGGGGTTTTTCCTACACATCGACTATTATCATATCATTTACATTCTATCGCCATTGCAGCTCTATAGAGGTTAGTGGAACGACATGCAGCAAATATATTTACTTGTGGCATGCCATTGATTGAATTGTTTCACAGTAATCAGTTCATTCATTTTTTCATCGGTTCATTGTTTTTTTTTTTTGTTTTATCAAAAACCAAAACCACACCACATGCTTATGCACATGTACATATGTATAATTGCTGCTGATAATGAGATTTATAGTCAAATAAAATTTTCACATTTTTTGATTTCTCTCTCGCATAGTCCAAAAAAGGGAATGTTATAAAGACGTCGGACATGGTTTGCCGTCGATTGTATTAACTTTGTATATCTACATTGGTTCGCATGTTGTACGTATGTATGTATGTATGTATGTATGTTGGTTTATGCGCATATCGCATAAAATCGTAATTAACAACTTCTAAAAGAGGAAGCATGTAGTGAAAGTGAATAAGCTTTTACGCTGGCTCACTAACTTGCTTTGACCTATAAAAAAATAAAATAAATTAAAGAAGTTTTAAATTGATTGCCATATATAATCGGCAAAATCACAAACAAGTTCACATAACTATGTATTCATTACATTTAGATACATACATATGTACATACATATATCCGAGTGTTTATACGCGCGTATCTGTGCATACTTTTGCCTGCACGGAAATAAGTTTCGCATTTAAACTTTCACACCAACTCTTTGTTTTTTAGACGATGAGATCACAAATATACAAAACTATTTAAAATTAAAAAAAGAAGTACAAAAAACTACCACAAATTCCATATGAATAAAGATTTTCATTAGATGAAAGTGAATTTAAACAACGCAAGCAGAAGTCAAAACAATTTTGGCATATATCGCGTATACCAACCATTTAGTTATGGAAAACTAAAAATGCAGTTCGATAGTATTTTTTACACTGATTTAAACTATACCAAACTTATTTGGCGCAAGCAAAAAATAAAGAAGAGGTTAAAATTACATTTTTTCGAGGAAGTTCTGCGTAAAAAGAAAACTATTATAATAATAATTTTGGTATAGTAAAAATTAGCGTTTTTCCATAGCTAAATGATTGATATACTCGATGTTATCGACATTTTTTTTTTTGGGCGAACCTAGCGGTACCCTTTTAAAATTTTGACAGATTTTGACAGATTCACTCGGCAATAAGCTTTTTTTTTTTTTAATAGTCTTAATTAAATAATCGAAGTATTTCATTAGCAACAGTTTACTGATTTTTGAAGACCTTTTATTTACTGACATTAGGGTGGTAGGAACTAGGATCTGGTAGATAACTAATAGCAATTTTTCTTAACGTAATGACGCAGGTATTTTTTAATGCCCAACTTTGTCGTTTAAATATGTGTCATTTAAGGCCTAGTGGAAATCCGGCATAAGTGTGCGGCAAACGGTCTTAATTGATAAATAAAATATAAAATTAATATTCCATCTGATTAAAATTTTGCGCACGGCCTAGTTTCATACTAAAACTGACAGAAATGAACTTCAGAAAAAAATCCTTAAAAATTATGGGCATGGCAATTAAAAGTGGTCGTGGACAAATGAGGCTAGAGGTCTCAATTTTCATCCAATTTAAATGTTTTTTTTTTAATAAACTCTGATAAAATTTTCAGAGGATATTTGATTTTTAATTAATGATGACAAATAGTCAATCTAATGCTTCAAACAGCGTTCAAATTGTTATCTTCATTATCTAAACGCTTTGAATCCGCAATTACTATATATTTTCATTTTCATATTATTATTTATTGTAAAATAAAAAAAAATTAAATTATTTCTGAAAAAATCAGCTCCACAGATTAATACCGATGAAACCATGTTTTTATAAATGCCTGGTTTTTATATAGGAAAGTAGTTTCTCAGTTTTCCCAGGTTGGCGATTTAAGCGTTTTTTTCTTCAATTTGAAGTTGGTGATAGCAGAGCATTATTTAAGGCAATTAAAAAAAAAAATTTATGCAAATATGTATAATATCAAAAGCCTTTCTAAGGTTCTTGGGTACGAGGAATCTGAATCTGCAAATCATTTTTACCAAAAACGGTCGCTGTGTCCGCTTGTTTTGGGCTTCGGTGCAAACAAACATGAAGAAACTTGTTTGCACTTATTCTTCATGTTCCTTCCATGGTTTATGCATCATAGCGCACCCAGCGGCCGCTTTCGCCAAAAATAAATTACAAATTCAGATTCCTCGGACCTAAAACCCCCTAGAAAGGCCTTTTGATGTTATTATTAATATTTTCATTAAAAATTACTTTTAATTGGTTTAAATGCTGCTCTGCGCCGCCAACTTCAAATTGAAAAAAAAACGCTTAACCCTTCTACAATGTTTGGGTCAAAATGTCCCAATTTTCAAAAAACAATTCTTTAATTACAGAGTTAGGCAATTTTAAATAAATAAGCTGCGGCGTTGTCTATTCGTTAAAAGGCAATAATCAGCTATGGTTTTGCAAAAAAATAAAAGGGTCTTTTAATTTTATTTTGTTTTCTAGAAGGCAACATAGTTTTTCCTTACATCCACAGTGTTTCTGAGTCATTTTGACCCAAATTATTATTTAGTACTTAAGGTCATCTTCGATCCAGTAAGAGTACAGCACTTGCCGATAAAGTATTTGCCTGTGAAAAATTAAATATTAACTTATATCAATTTTTTTTTTTAATTGACTAATTTCTATTATTGGGTCAAAATTACCCAAAACAGTATAGGAAGGTGTAAATTCCAAACATTGCAGTAGGGTTAAAATCGCCAACCTGAGAAAACTGAGAAATTACTTTCCTAGAAAAAAATGATAATTTTATACAGTGTAATAATAATAGATTGGCGCTCCTCCGATTTTTGGCGTGCGCCTTGATGTTGTCGCATAAAGGGGAGGGACCTACAGTTTTACGCCGACGCCGAACTGCGATTGTATTTTTATGGAAAGCTGTTTTTTCATAGCAGAAATACACTCCGAGGTTTGCCATTGGCTGCCGAGGACCGGCCGCTGTTAAGAAAAAAACCATTTTTTTCCATATGTCTCTTGCGATGTTGCTTTGGCCAGAGCTTGACCCCAGCCCTGCGGAGTGGTAGCGCGCACTGCTAATCACTACACCACAGCAGCTCACAATTTTATGAAATTTTATTAAAAAAAAAAATAAAAAATCGGACGAACATTGAGACCTCTAGACTGATTTGTTCTCTACCACCTTCATTTGCCTCACTGTGCAGCGCAGAGCGCAGCGCGATACAATATGTATTTATGAACACCTGCGCCGCACTATATCTACTAAGGCATAAAATCAAATACCTCGAGAACGAGATGACGAAATAAATTTAACGGGATATAAAAAGCTTTTGAGTTGAAGAATTTAAAATCACCTTGACCTCAAAACCGACCCTCAAAAGTAAATATTTTTTTATGTTTTGACCATGTATTCCTTGACGCAAAAAAGCAAAAATATGTGTTTAAAACTTTCTAAAAGTTCACTGCATATTGGTCTCCACGTCAAAAATATTTAAAACCTATTTTTCTGGGGGTAATTTTGAAGGTCGAGGTATTTATTTTATCCAACGGGATTATTTACAGTTATGTATTTCACTATCCCGTTTCTTTCTCTACATATTTGATTTTGTTCCTTGTTTTTTTTTTCAAAATAAACACAGTGCAAAGGGTATGCAAAGTTCCGTTTCTATCCAAACGAAATCTTTTTTCAAATATTTTTTTTTTTAGAAAATTCGATCGCACTTTGCATTCTGATTTTTGCATTTCTGTATATGTATCTCTTTTAATCATTTTATAATGTATATTTTATCATTTTCTCAATTTCTTAATTTCAGATCACATTGGCCATAGTTATTATTACTTTAAATATGCGCATTTGCAGAGCGGCTCTTTGGCCTAACTTTAGTAGTGAGAAAGCTGAAAAATGTAGTGGCGGTGTGGGATTAAAATACTTATCCGGTGATGCGCTCACCGATTCACCAGATTGTTTAGGACCAAACAACTCACCTTATCCGAGGTAAAATACAAAAACAAAACAAAAATTACAACAAAAATGTTTCCATTTAAAATTAATTCTTCGACCTTGTATAAGTTAAGGAGTAAGTTAAATTAAAATTAAAAAAAAATATTTCGTATAGAAAAGAACTTAATTCTTATTTTTTAAGCAATGACGCGCACATTTTTTATGGCCACGTTTGTCATTTAATGCCTAGAGGAAATCCCGCATTAAAGACCAACGCAAGGACATGTCTATGTATTTTTTTTAATGCCCAATTCTGCCAATAAGATGTTTATTATATAATACCTAATAAAAATGCGGCATATGCAAGTCTTAAGAATTTTGAATGCCTTCTAAAAGTTATTTTCTCACTAAAATTTGAAAATTATCACCGAAATATTTAATTTCATCTTTCAACAGTGCGGCTGTGGCACGAACATTTTCGAATTGGAATGGCAACGCCAGACGTGGCCGGCAAAGCAAATTCCCCTCAACTCTGGACCCGGCGATAACAAAAAGCGCACTACTGCGTGCCTACGATGAAGTGAACAACGATTCTCCCGCCAGCAATCGTTATGGTGAGTAGCGTACTTATTACATTTTCAACTACTAAGTAACTAATGTATATTTATAAAATACTAAAAAAAAATAATCTTGCATAACCCGCTATCAATAATTTTTTTTTTTTCAACTATTTCAGGACGTTCGCTATCAAATGGACCAATTGTCCAGTGCAGAGAAACGCCATCACGATTATGTAAAACACGCTACAATACAACAGCGCCAATGTATGGAGTTAGTTTGACTTCAGGACAGCCAGTGACTATTGTACAAAAATTTCCCGATCTGTTACAACAAGTCGTTTTCGAAGTTTGCGAGTAAGTAAAAATAGATGAGATTATACTTTGTAAAAGAATTTCAAATTTTCGTTATATACTTCTTCTTGTACAATTTAAACATTTCTCTCATTTCGAATTCAGATCAGGTGAATGTGATGTTGTACGCGGCGAATGTACTCAAACTTATGTGCCGTACCTGTTTCTTGTTATACCACTGGGTCCAGTCACGTTGACTGGTCAGGATTATGTGCTGGTTGAAAGTGGTTGTGTTTGTAAACCGAAATATTCGACGGGGGCAGCACAGGAGCCAAATATGATACCATAATTTCAACACAGAGCCAAATAACTAAATACAAACACACAGAAATGGATTATGTTAAAAATAATATTTATCTATGCACTATTGATATACTGTTACATACACATAAAAAAAATGGACATTTGTTTGCATAAAAATAATGGAAAATCGTTGCCTATAGAAAATTAAGATGCCCGTGTACTGACACAAATGCAGTTTAGTTGGTGCAAGACAAAAAATCTATAATTTTTTTATGCATTTTAGGAAAACATTTATGAATATTTGCAACGAATGCCCATTTTGCGTATTTGTTTATTATTTTTCATTAGCATTAAATTCAACAAGTTTTCTCTGTTGAAAGGTTATAATTAGTTATATATATATGTACATTAAGATTAGATGTAAAATACATATGTACATAAGTATGTATTTAGTTATTAAAAACAAACAAACAGCAATTGAGTTTTAGGTACATTTTTACTTAGTGCACATGTGTGCGTTAAGATTTATCGAGATACAGTAATGTTATAGTAAAGTTATAATTAAACACACATATGCATTTATTTATTTTAATAAAATTTTAGTGCATTGCGAATTAGCGTTCGTTTAAAGTTAGTTTTCAAAAAATTCTTTACATAAATATTTACACAAATAGAAATTTTTCTTCGTTAAGCACAAAAATAGGAAATGGTTTTGTTTTTTTTTTATTTTTTGCCTTAAGAATATATATGTATGTCTTTCTGTAACAGTATATCAATAAAACATTCAGAAATATGAATGCATATATTTAGAATTGATTATTTATTGAATACTTAAATAATGCATAATTTAATTATTTTTAAGTTAATAAAATATTAAGAACATATATGTTTGTACATATATGTATGTAGGTATACACTTATAAAAATTTTTATATATACACATACATGTATACGTGTTTGCATTTCATGCTTTTGTAGCATGATGAGTTTAACAATTAAAAATAAAACTAAATGTCTTAAATATGTATTATTATATGCACTATACATACGTACATTTGTATGCAGTGTATAAATGGCATAATTGTTTTAAATAAACGAAATAAGATCAAGCATTGAATGTATGTTATTAATTAAAGAATTAAATAAGAAAATTGAAATTGTTGCATTTATGTATATACATATTTATACACGTGTAATAATAAAATATTTAATAAAATAACACTTAAATTATTTGTGGGAAAGAAAACTTGAGCAGTAAGTAAAAATTTTAATTCTATATTAGACTGTCACATTTCAAAGAGCGTAACGTTTCAGGAGACGCGTTTAAAGTGTTCAATTTACTTAGAAATTGCAGAAAATTGCGCCAGATTTCAGCATGAAATTTTTGCATAATATGTAACACAATAAGCCCAAAACAGCACATAAAGCGGGTAATAGAGAGCGTGCCCGAAACTGCCCGGAATTTTTTTCCAAGCAGAAATGTGCGAGAAGTCAGTTTGATGATTTCTTGTTTGTTTATATCCGATAGCAAATTTTGTAAAATACATAAATGGAAAATAGCACAAAAGGTTCAGAAATGTAGATATTTGCTAATTTTATTAGTTACATATATAAGATAAATTCACATAAAATCATTGTTTACAGCGGATTTGTTGATTCCGGGCACGAAATGTGGGTTTTTGCGTTCCTCATGCTCTGCGCACTTTTGACGTGTGTTGACACATTTTTGACACTTGTGAGAGAGTAACTTATTTGTATGCTCTAATTACCGAAACAACCCGGAAAGCGTGTGGAACACACCTATAATGTACTTATAATAATTGCGTTCCAATTAACTTCGTGTAAAAAAAAACCGAAGAGCGAGAGCGAAACAGTAAAAGTCACCTGGAACGCGAAAAACCACTTTTCCTGTAACTACTTCAGTTTTTTAACAAATATAAGGTTCTTTGCTTTCACTGCGTTCTGTTTTTGTTTACAAATGCAACCTCGCCTATCCTTTGACACTTTTCATGAATTTGCAGGAAGAAAATATTCGGACTAAAACCTGCAACTTCTGACTGGGAGAGAGAGCAAGTTACTCTCAGAAAAGTGCTTTAACTTACAGGTTTTTGGCACCTGGAACAGTGTTGCCGGTTTGATACATATGAATCTAATTGGATACATTTTTGTCTTAAATTTTGAGGGATACTACATGTTTTCCTCAGTGTAAATTTGGATACCTTTTCCCATAAATATTTGTAAGGTGAAGGACATTTTTTTATATTTATGTACGAAATATTATAACATTTTTAATAGCTGGCTGCTCATCCTCCAAGCAAGAAATTTTCTCTTATTCTTGTCACTTTGAAAAATTAAATCTTTAGCTACATAAACGTGCATTTAATAATACCAAGTAGTTTGAAAATTTTAAAAAGTTTTCCGACCTGTAGTAGTTAACTATTATATCGAGAAATAAACTTTTACATCCCGAGCAACCCTTCTCTTAGCACAGTCAAAGGAAATTGACAACCATGCGGACGAATAATTTTCAACTATAACTTGACTGCACTAAAAACAACTTATAATTTCTAAATTTTCAATTATATGTATGTCGTTAAGCGAGAATTCAAGTAGACATTTTTCTTGAAGGCGGAATTTACAGACAAATACAAGTTTTTGAGGATTTTTTTTTAATTTCATAGAAAGCTCCCAATCCAACAGTTTGATTGAAAAATATTGTAACTATAATAGCGGGAAATAACAATTTACTGAACTGACTGTAGCAGGTCAAATTTAAATTAGTATTATTTTGATAGACTAGCAAACATTTTTTGCATGTATTATTTGTGGGAATCTAATCATAGTAATAGGCATCGAACATGCGGAAACTTTGGCCCGTAGTTGTAGTTAGTATTTTCCCATTCTTAGAAACAGATCTGGGTAACAAAGGCCTGTTGGTATAGTCAAAATTATGTCGACACTAAAGTTAGTTGCAGCTTTTTTGACAGATATCCCATTGAAAATTATGTCAAAAAGCTGCAATTAACTTTAGAGTCGACTTAATTTTGACTATAACTACGGGCCGTTGTTTCCCAAATCCGTGTCTAAGGATGACAAAATACTGACTACACGTTAATAAGTTTGTTATGGGGCCGATGTGGTTTTCCATAGATGCACTATGTAAAAATGTCCGCTCTTTTCGGTGGATACATTTGGATACAGTTTTCGATTTTTTTTTGGATACTATAAAGGCTAAGGCAGTGGCAGCACTGACCTGGAACGCTTTCCTGGGGGAAAAAAACCTGCAAAGCGTGAATATCGTAAGCATCTGGAATGCAACTAATTAAAATGTATGTATGTATTTGCACTTACGGTAATTACAGAAGCATTATTTACTGATCATGATAGCTTCGCTTCTGTCGTTTCCTTCCAAGGCGATTCACTACCATTTTAATGCACAGTAATTCATTCAAATATTACTTTATATTTTGCTTTCAACTTGACACAATTTTGCTCCAAAGATTATATGTAATTTTAAAAATTCACTTGTTTGATTTGCTGCTATAGCTTTACTTCCCTCATTCCCTTTAGCAGGGCGCTCGGTAGTATTTTAAAACAATGATATAATAAAGCCGAAAGTTCGGAAAGCTATTACTTTATGCTAAGCACTTAATTATTACAGAAATTTTTATAATTTTCACTTTCAAGTGGCTAAAAATAACAAAAACCTCACTGGTCGCAAACCAAATATGTAGCCGCAAAGCTTATAATTTTAACAATTAACTTGTTGGGTGTGCTCTTTTAGCGTCACTTCCTTCGTAAGCACAGAAATNAAAGTTCGGAAAGCTATTACTTTATGCTAAGCACTTAATTATTACAGAAATTTTTATAATTTTCACTTTCTAGTGGCTAAATATTACAAAAAAACTCACTGGTCGCAAACCAAATATGTAGCGGCAAAGCTTATAATTTTAATAATTAACTTGTTGGATGTGCTGTTTTGGCGTCACTTTCTTCGTAAGCACAGAAATCGTATGAAATATGTTAGCACAGCCACGAGTAGTAAAAATATTACTTTCTAATATATTTAGCACTTGATTAATACAGAAATTGTCACGATTTCCACAATTTTCACATTTTAGTGGCTCAAAATCAAAAAATCACTGAACATAACTCAAATAGCGCCAAAACTTCCTTTTCCTGTTGGCTTGACCCCACATTTGACATTCGACATTTCCCTGTAGTTTCGTTAGGAAATCTACAAACAGGGTCGCATGGAAGTCATGNACGATTTCCACAATTTTCACATTTTAGTGGCTCAAAATCAAAAAATCACTTAACGCAACTCAAATAGCGCCAAAACTTCCTTTTCCTGTTGGCATTTGACATTTGACATTTCCCTGTAGTTTCGTTAGGAAATCTACAAACAGGGTCGCATGGAAGTCATAGTATTTTCTTATAACCTTACATTTTTCTTAACACAAGTGTATGTGAATAAGCGCAATTTAAACACCTGTATGCAGATTTTTATATAAAAATCACAATTATAAAACATATATCTTGATTTTAGTTTGTTTTCTGTAAGTTCGCTTATAATTTCTAGTAATTTCGCATTTATTGTGACTGCCTATTAATTATCATTTCTTTTTCGTCTGACCTTCTTCATCAAATATGGCAACGTTCATTTCGTTGAATTTTTCGTTGCGTCGTCTCCATTTTGCAGTGTAGCAGGCCGCATTGAAAATTTTTTTAATGTGCGAAAAAAGATTATTGCAGATATATTAACTTAAAAATATGTGTAGTTTCAGCGNGTTGCGTCGTCTCCATTTTGCAGTGTAGCAGGCCGCATTGAAAATTTTTTAATGTGCGAAAAAAGATTATTGCAGATATATTAACTTAAAAATATGTGTAGTTTCAGCGTTAACGTTGTTAAAATATATTGAAATAGTTTACTACGCGAAATTTGTAACGTTTACAGTTCATTTGAGTGCAAGAAAAACCGAATGTGTATTAATTACCCCCGCCTCCTGATTTTTTTTTTCTTCTGCTCACATCGCTGAATTTCACGCTTGCCGCCGTGTGCGTATTCGAAGCCCCAGTTGCCGGGCGCACCATTTCCGTGAAGCAGAAACTAAAAAATTAATTGGGAGCCTAATTAAGTATAAGGTATATAACTGCAATAAGTGAGCTAAATTTATTAAAGAAAGGTTTGAAACATTGACATGACGTGAGGGTGCTAATTTGTGAAAATTGTTGAAGAAAATTATTTGAAACATTTGCTATTGCTGTTAAAGAGACGAGTGCTGCACAATGATGTTCACGGTAAGTCCGCCATTATCTATATTTAATTAAATATGTAATACACATGTTTTTGTATTAACATTGCATTGTTTAATTGAAAAATATTTTAATATATATTACAGTTTATGAGAAAAAATATATATTTCTACTCAGACTACTACATATATCTACTTTGTGTCAAAATAACCACTTCGTGTGAAAAGGTCAATGGAATCATAGGTTAATTCGCTGATTTTTTCGTTAAGATAGTACTTTA